TCTCACATTCTTCTCATCTAAAAATGAGGCAGCGATGAGTACCTCTGATTGGCTCTGTTCCTTAGTCAGGAACAGCTGCAGCGGTGACATCACCTGACCCTAAAGCGGCCATCCGCCGAGTCGCGAACGGGACAGGAATTATTGCGATTGCCCGTCTGCTCGGCGTTACCTTACCTTAGCAGAAATTTTTTTACCCCTTCTTCAACAAATTTTTTTCTATCCCATCTGCAACTGATTTATCACTTGCTTGATCTTCAGAAACCGCTCAATTGATTGCTTTATACCCTATACCCCGTCTCGCTCACAGTTCTCCTTCATCACCCCCTTTTCTCCTAGCTTATCGCTCCCCATCCTTATCGGTCATCATGAGTGCCGAAAACGGTCAGAAGTCGCTCTCTGAGCGCGTTGAGATGCCTGAGATCCCGATGGAAGTTGCGCGGGAGTTTGCGCTCCTGGAGCAGAGATTTATCCGCGCTGAGACCGAGCGCTGTAAGTTGCCCTCGCCATTCTTCTTACCCTGGGGTGTTACACGTCCACCTCATATGAGCACATGAATCCTGACTCGTTTAGTGCGCCGGTCCACTGTTGAGAACCGCCCTCTGTGGGAGAAGCGTAGCGAAATCATCTCCAAGGTCCAGGACGACTTCTGGGTTCGTGTCCTCTCCCACGCCCCCGCCGAGATCGACGAATACATCCAGCACTCCGACGCCGCTGTTCTGGGCTCTGCCCTCAAGGACCTCACTGTCGAGAGATTCGAGGTCGACGAGAAGGGCAATGGCGAGCCCCGAAGCCTTCGTTTCACCTTCGTGTTCCGCACCGGCGAGGAGAATCCCTTCTTCGAAAACGAAAAGCTCGTCAAGGAGTTCTACTGGCGCAAGAAGATCACCAAGACTCCCAAGGGCAAGCGCAGGACATGGGAAGGCCTCGTCTCTGAGCCAGTTCGCATCAACTGGAAGGAAGGCATGGATTTGACCAAGGGATTGCTCGATGCTGCCTGTGATCTGGCCGAGGCCGAGAAGAAGGGTGGCGACCGCAAGAAGCTCCCCGAATTCGAAAAGCTCGCCAACAAGATGGAGGAGCTCGAGGCCGCCGCTATGGAAGATAACGATGAGGACGAGGAAGACTTCCCCACCCCTGCCGGAACTAGCTTCTTCGGGTTCTTTGGTTATCGCGGCAATGTTGTCTCCGCCGAAGAGTCCAAGGAAGCCAACAAGGAGGATGATGAGCGATTCGAGAGGGCCCTTAAGGGAGAGAAATTCGATGATGAGGAGGATGATGACGACGAGGAGGACGACGAGGAAGACTCCTTCGATGAGATCGAGATCTTCCCTGACGGCGAGGACCTTGCGATCGCTCTCGCCGAGGACCTGTGGCCCAACGCTCACAAGTATTATGGTAAGGCTCTCCGCTGTAAAGACGATGCAATCGTGTAACTGACTCGATTTCAGGACAATCCTTTGAGATCGGCGATGATTACTCTGAATTCGATGAGGACGAACTCGAAGATGAGGAGGACGAGGAAGACAACTCTCGGCCCCGCAAGAAGGCCAAGGTTTAAATCCATCGTCCTGCTTTGATTTTTGAAGTAAAATGCCATTTCGTTACTTTCGTGCCCATGGGTGGATATCTGATCTCTAATCACAATGCGATTACCAAAATTAGTAGTAGTACCAAGACGAAGATGAGAGCCGCGATGCAGAATGAAGACATTGTATCTAATGAACCAAAAATGATTAGTTTTTGTTTTTTGACTATGGTCTGTGATCTTCAATACGAATGGACAGAGTACACACTTACCTTCGTTCTTTCGCACGATATGCTTTATCCGTGACATCCCGTTGCTCAACTTGCCCCCCACTCTATCAGCCAATGTATCCACCTCGTCGATCATGACTGCCTGCTCTTCCAGCTCTCTGCCCATATCATCTGCCTGTTGTCGTAGGTTGCCCACAGTCCGAAATACACCGTCCAGCTGTTCATCTTGTTCATGCATCAGCTCCATCTGCCGCTGCTGCTCAAGAGCAGCGTAGTAATCATCCCCTCGATCATCCGCAGAGGGTGACAAGACATTATCAAATTCGGCCGGATTGGGCAGTCCCGACGTAGAGCCTGTAGCTGCCCGGGTACCGCCAGCTGTGTCGGCGGTTGTGACAACCCTCTGCAACTCCTCTCTCATCTTCTCGACCTCATCTCCAACCTCGTCCACTAACTTTCGCCGGCGTGCGACTTCCTCGATTTCGAGGCCATACCGGTACGGGTCTTGCTCGATTGCGCGGACACTCTCGACAAGATCGTCTAAATCCGCGGTTAGGTCTGTCAGCGTAGTCTCGAGCTCTGAGCGGGCTTGTTGGAGTTCTGGGTTTGATGGTGATTTGGCGAGAGATCTGATACGGAGGTATGAGGAGAAAAGGGGCCTGCTGGATTGCAGCGTCGACAGGACATCTCTATAGTCGGCGAATGGTTAGATGCCGAGTCACCTAAAGCGGGTAAAGTGGTCAGGCTTACGCTTGTACTTGAAGGAAAGGGTCTGCACTATCCATATTGCAAATGTCGCTATATGAAAAAGGCACGAATGAAGTCTAAGTAGAGCAATGTAGGCCGCTTGCTAGTTCAAAGGGTATCATTTGACGTCGTGTTTAGATGAGCTTGAGTTATGAACACCAGTCCAGATAACTGGATACGGTTGGTTCGGCGGTGTGATCAGCGGTAAGTCGGACATTTTCACGTGATATCCCATCGACTCGCAGCAAGATAACACTATAGTCTAGGTAGTATCTATGTGACCAACGTGTCAGAATGTATTGAAGTAACCCGTGGTAAAAGCACGGTGGAGACCAATATGTCTTTGACTCCACATCTCCTTTAGATACTTCTCCGCTGCTCGGTTGAATTCCCGCCCTCGAGCGTCAATCACTGCTGGCTTCACACTCCAGCTCCGGACGCGGCTTCTACAGTCGCAATCGCGACATCGCAGTTCTAGGTCGTTCTTCCACTCTTCCCAGTAACTGTCCAAGAGATCCGCAAAGCGACATTCTCTGACGTCAGAATCACTAGTCTTGTCATCCGGATGACAACATTCGTCTTGAGGGCTTAAAAAAAGCTTCGCTAGCATTCTGGGTGATTGCTTCAGAATGAACCAGGAAATCAAGCTGTATTCGTTCTTTGCATCGCGGTACCAATCCTTCGGGCCGTGTCTAAGAAGCATGCGCTCCATGAGCTCCCGCAAAATTCGTAGAACAGTATGGAAATCAATTTCATTCTGTTCGTCAAGATAGCTCCTCAAGCGAAGCCTTTTTCTGCCGATTTCCGCCTCCACATGTCCCCATTCCAACACTGTGTAGATATGGTCGAAATTGTTATCAAAAGTCATCGATTGGCTCATATGTTCTAGGAGGTCCTCGTACAAGTCCGATGCCCAAGTCAGTACTAGACGCCGCCCAGGACCGTGGGTAGCTGATTCCCCCCCATCTTTCACTTGCAGCGTCTCTGTATCATGGGAGGCGTCTGCAAAGTGAAAGAGCACGTGTAATCCCCGTTCCAGTGTTTGTGCGAGTTTCAATTCAGCATTGTAATCCATCTCAGGATTTCCGCCATCAATGTACGGGCCCCATACGGAGGGAATGATACGCCGTGCTAATTGACTTGCGGTATGTTGACGGTAAATGAATCTTGGGAGTGTGCACACAGTGACAGGTCGCTGACCGCCTGTCTGCGGATTCAGTGTGATAAGAGGAGCAAAAGCATTCATATTGTGCAGGCGCATGAACCAGCGGCAGATATGCGGCTCGAGTGATCCAATCGTCTCATATGTCGATTTGTTGACAAGGCGGAGGTTTAAGACAGCCCTTATATCTCCGTTTATGATGATTTGGAATAGTACATCGGCGACACGGCCGAATAACACTTTTGTTGTGACCGTTTCCGCATCCAAATTCTGCTGCATGTTTGCAAGATTAGCACAATACTTTGGTTTCCTCAATCCCAAGGCAAGAGAAGAGTTTACAGAGTCATATCTTAGCTTGACACTGAAGTCCCCTTATGTAGGCGCCCAAGATCTAACATTGTTGTTCAAGGTTTGCAACTGTATCCACTAAGGCGGCCAAGCACATTGGCCTCCTTGCAGCAAGGGGATAATGAGCTGATGCGTACAGTGTACTTGGGCAGATGGATCATAACGGTGTGACGCGTGAGTTACTTGAGGATCGTCTTGGCTGTTATGTGTCTGTCGGAAGGATTGGGTATGTTATGCGGGTCGTCAGACGATCACAGCTTGACTGGTCAACTTTCAAAGTGAGGACTCAAAATCAAAGCTGACCCTTACCCGCACTCCCACAGACAGTAGGCCATTCCCTTGGGGAAATTGAGTTCTCTTCAGAGAAGAGCAGCTCGGCCACGCCTCAACGCCATGACAACGAACAGATCCTCGTAACGAGATTCATCAATGCCACGGCTCCCTTGCAATATCACACGAGCAGAAAGAACATCGTGACAGAAAGATAAAGTGCTTGCTAGCTCTTCCAATATGGTCAACATACAGAGTAGGGTCAACAGTTTGACAACAACTATCGCCTGATAGACTCAATAGTCCGCCGATTAGTTGTCAAAGTGACTTGGCGGGAAGAGGCCCCGAAGCAGGCGCCACTGTGAGGCGGAAGGGAATCCTTAGGGTACGGAGTACGTTGGATTCTCAGCTTTGTAAAAGGCACTATGATAATGAGACTGATGGCAAAGTGGCTTGGAAAGATATCGGATTCGGCTGTCTGCTGGTGGACGAACTGTCCATAGTTCTGATTAAACTTCTCTCGGCCTAAACCCAATCGGTGATTTCCCCTCAGGCAGAAAATTTCTGGAAATGTTTCCCCGCAATTTCTCCATCTCCAAATCATCAAGTCAAAAAAGAAGCCTGCAAACTCAATCGGAGTTAGTTGGCGGTTCCATGAGTGCTATGCGACATTCATAGCGATCTGCATCTGCCTTCTATTTCCCTATTCAGCGCACGCATGTCGTGCCCACGACCGCTTCCACTCCCCGAGGAGTGGACTAATCCTGACGCTTATGTTGACGCCCTCCTGTCCTTTACGACCTCGTCTGAGCTATTCATCCATGTGTGCGGGGGTGTACATATACTGGACTTTCTGACTCGCGAACCCGATTTGTACGATTCACTTCTCCMACTGCATTGGCGGACATTCTTTGAGACGCACGACATTCAAGATATACTAGACCTGTTGTTGAGAGAAGATATACCGCCGCTGTTGCACCAGAGTCGCAAGTTTTCTGAAAGTGACACGAGTCAGGATGCAGATGTTCGTTGGAGAGGGCAGCCTCTCCCTCCAACCGACCTCCTGGAATACATTCATCAGATCCGTCGTCTCAGTCTGGGGAGAGATTTCACGTCAAGACAGTCTGGTAAGGTGGCGCTACCTCACCATCTTGCGGTGGGAATGAATCAAAAGAAATATCACGAGGTTGCACACTTTTCAAAATACGTTAATGATCTATGTGACACCGTTGCCGAAAAAAGGGGCGAGGATATATCGCATATTGTTGACTTCGGATCAGGCCAGAACTACCTTGGACGGACGCTGGCAAGCCCTCCTTACAACAGGCATATAATTGCAATCGAACGCAAACATCAGTTTATCAGTGGCGCGAAGGGCATGGATATTCATGCAAAACTGGCGAAGAAGCAGAAGAGAATCGTTTACAAGACCAATGGCAGAAGGAACCGCAAGGGTTTGGAGGATGATCAGGGTACAGCGCCGTCCACTCCCGAGGCGGAGGTAGTTGAAAACGTACCTAATAATGCTTCCACCGAGCCTGGTGATGGTGAGGGTGAAGATAGCACGGTTTTCAATGTTTTGCTGGACATTGATATCCAACCGGATGAGTGGGGAACTAGCCCTTATAAGAATGGGCCGCCCAAGAAATTTGTGGGCAAGAAAGAAGATGAACCTGTGCTCAAAGGAGCCATGGATTACATCGAGCACGAGATCAAAGACGGATACTTGGAGCCTATAATCAAGGATGTGATCAAATCTCGATCTTTGGAGACTCAAGGATCCCAAGGCTCCGTCGTTGACCGAAACTCGAGGGCCGAGGGAAAGGCGGAGGACCCCAACGTCATGGTCATTTCCCTTCATTCATGTGGCAACCTTCTTCATCATGGTGTCAGATCTTTAGTTCTCAACCCGTCTGTTAAAGCTATCGCAATGATCGGATGCTGCTATAACTTGGTGACTGAGAGGCTGGGCCCGGCCACATACAAGGTCCCCATCCTCCGCACTCAACATCCCCGCTTGACTCAAGATGCCTGTGCGTATGATCCTCATGGGTTCCCCATGTCGAAACGTCTGGAATCGTATAAACATGTCAGTGGCACTGGCGTGAAACTGAATATCACCGCACGTTCGATGTCTCTACAAGCACCCTACAACTGGGGCAGAGAAGATAGCGAAGCGTTCTTCACGCGGCACTTCTACCGAGCCCTTCTCCAGCGCATTTTTGTTGACCGTGGCGTGGTAGGGAAACCTGTTAACCCGACGGATCTCTATGGTTTGGAGACTGGCGGTCCTGATGCGGTTGGAAACCCTTTGATTGTCGGTTCGTTGCGAAAGGCCGCTTTTACGTCTTTTTCTGCATACGTTCATGCTGCAGTGGCAAAGCTCAGCAAGGACCCGCACAATGGAGAGAAGGTCAAGGCAGGGATGGCCGGCATTACGGAGGAAGAAGTGAAGCGTTATGAAGAGGAATATTGGCCGCGAAAGAAGCATCTTAGCGTCACCTGGGCTCTGATGGCTTACAGTTCAGCACTCGTCGAGGCCCTCATCGTCGTGGACAGGTGGCAATTCCTGCGTGAGCATGACTCCGTCAAGGATTGCTGGGTTGAGCCAGTTTTCGAATACAGCGAGAGCCCTAGGAATCTCGCCGTGATCGGAATTAAGAAATGATTCCGTGACCTGTCCTTTGGCAGAAGTCATGATGCATACACGCTTTGACGATTCGCCGCGAGGCAATGGGATGACAGCTATTCATGGTCATCTGTCTAGCGGGGCAGCGGTCCCATTGCCATCAATGACGCATATTCGGTGTTATCATCGTAACCTGGACCAGGCCCGAAGCATGAAACAGAGCCGAGCCCCTCAAGACGGCTCATCGTTACGGGGAGGCCGGATGCGCATACAATACCGCGAGGAGACATAGCATAGACTTTGCATTTTTTGGGAAACCCAAACAGAGCGACGGCCAGCTAGGGTTCTCCTGCGTTTTATTTCATCATTTATATGGAAGAAGGATAGAGTCAACGATTGATGACTTTGTATAGACATAGAGTGCGATACAGTTCTTTTGAGACCATATACCAATGCATTAACGAGGAAATGAGCAACGGTCGCTTCTTCTCTTCCGATAGGGTTATTACCAGAGATAGATGTGTCAATTGTTCCCACATTCAGAGTGACTGCGGTCGATGGAACTGTGGCCTTTGAATAGTGGTACCCCAAGAAGGCAGAGTAGTAATCCAAGTGACGTCTGACCGGGTGCCGGCTCTTTCGGAGTCCGCGGGTTCCGACGCCACTGTCCCCCTAACACCCAGGCAACACAATTCAAATTTGACAATTACAAGACTATTTTATCTCATACCGTGCCGAGTGCCGACGAAGATACTAGTCTCTCTAGAGTCGATATGGCTGACAAGCAACGAATGGACGCCGAGGGAGCCGAAAGTGACAGTAAGGAGCTTCTGAACAAGCGCGCGGTAAGTGCAGGGCAGTATACAAGGGATGGCATGTTGCTAACGAGCTGCAGTGCGACCAATGCCGTCTCAGAAAGGTATGCTGACAGTGGAATTGATGCCTGAGCAATTGGGGTCGCATTATATTGCTTTCTTTGAATTAACCGTCCGTACTGTCGACAGGTACGCTGCGATAAGAGATCACCATGCTCGAATTGTCGCAGTGCAGGAATTGTCTGCCGCTCAACAGGCGCAGGGCAGAAACCCAAGGAGGATCGGAGGCGGGTCCTAATTTCTAGCCAGTAGTAAGTAGGAAGCACTTGGCCCTGTCAGTGCGCTTGCCTGACTTGCTACAGCGAGAAGAAGATCGATCTTATCGAGGAACGTCTAGGCAACATTGAAGAAGTCCTTCTTGAGTTGAAATCTAGCCTTGCTCGCAATCCCACTACTGCTGAGCACTGCTGCCACGCGACTCCAGTCTCGAAGCAAATGACTCCAGATACATCTGGGATTGCCTCCAATACCACAGCCGCGTTAGAACATGAGCCTGCGACTGGGTTTGAGGGCAACTCATCCCTCGCAGCTCATTCCGCCTACGCAAGTGCGTTCCTAGAAACCGTCGTTTCGCGAAGCGCACCTCAAGTCTCTACCCCAAAAATTAATGCAGCCCTCACAGCGCTCAGACAGATCGTGAACATGCAGAGTCATCCACCTGGGTCTTCGTTTAAAGACGCTCCGTTGCCGAATCAGAAAGGTGGTCGAGTCTCGAACTTGCGAGATCTGGTCATGCCCCCAATTGAGGTGGTTCTGCCAATTTTGCGCCAAATAAAAGGTACTTGTCTCTAAGCTTTGCATGATAAGTGGCCGAGGTTGACGCACAATTAGAAAAGCTTCCTTTTGCCTTCGCATGCTACTTTCCTTTCCTCAGTGTTGATGATTTTATCCAGAAATGCCGCGAGGTGTACTTTGCAACAGAAGATTACTCTGACACCACTTTCATGGTAGCCAATTGCGGTTTGTATTACATCTTCCTTGAGTATAGCTTCCTTGCAGAAAGTCCACAGATTCGAGATGATTACCAGAAGTACATGCTTCTTTGTCGGAAAAATTTTGAAACAGTGCTAGCAGACTTGACGTTGTTGATGCCGGCCAGACCGGAGTCAGTTGAAGCGCTTACCTTGGGAGTAGGCTATTCGCTCCTTCCTTGCTCAGCCAATTCAACTAACCCGTTCCTTCTCTTAGGCTATTCATGCCACTGAAATATCAAAACCTTCGTTTGCCTGGGCGCTGACGTCAAATGCAGCTCGGCTGTGTCAGAATCTTGGATATCACCGGAGCTCGTCAATGAGTCAGTATAGCGACAAAGAGAAAGCCAAAGCGCTTTCGCTCTTTTTGTGTGTTTACTGTCTCGACAAGGCTCTTTCACTCAGGCTAGGGCGTGCATCATCTATACAGGATTATGATATTACCATCCCTGAGGATTTAGGAGGGCACACGGTCGACGAACCTTGGAGAACAATGTATCATCTATGGGTGAAAACCGCCGAGATCCAAGGAAAGGTCTACGAACAATTATACAGTCCGGCGGCTCTAAGTGGACCAGAACGCGAAAGGGCACTTTGTGCTCGTCAATTGGCGTCGGAGATGGAAGTAGCCGTCATGGAGCCATTCAAGGTAGGCATCCAGTAGAGATCAAGTTACCACAAGGGAAGCTTTTTGATTGACGGATCACAGAAGCTCGAAAGGTCGTCTGATTCTGTATCGGAGATTGAAGGCTTCTTGATTAAATCGGATGAAGTCAGCAGATTTTCTATATTGACTTTAATATACAGAGCCATTCCTGCATCAGGAGAATCCACCACCACTTTTGTACCCGAATGCATAGAGACGGCACGGGCTGCATTGGAGTCGCATCAGGTTTGCATGACAAATTTGAGGGAAAGTAGCGAGGCGACGAAATGTTCATATCTGCATTGGTGAGTATGCCTTGTCTTGTCTCGATGAAAGGATGTCCGTTTTCTGATGATTCTTCAGGTCCATTCTCTACTCCCCGTTTGTCCCATTCATAGTCCTCTTCTGTCACGTCATTGAGGCTTCCTCTCGAGACGATCTCGGGAGACTGGAAGACTTTGTTTCCTCACTTGCACCGATCTGTTTCCTTTCCGAGGCAATCACGAAACTACATAGTCTTTGTCAAGTTCTTAGCAACGTTGCGAGGCTATATGTAGAGGCGAGAGCACAGGCCCAAATACAGGAGAACCAGGATCTAGTGTCTGTGGGTCAGGAGTTTGACACATATTTGAGTGCTCTTGGCTTGGCCCCTGCATCTGGAGTCGGCGGTTCTCGTTGGAATACTGCTGCCTCGGATTCTTTGGCAGCAAGATCTATGCCTGTACTTGAGAACAGCATGGGAGGACAAGATCTTCCGGCTGGTTTCATACCACAGACACAACTGGGAAGCTGGTTTTCTGGGAACCAGCATATGATGGGATTGTTGGAAGAAGATATGTCACTATGGGATCCGGCTACATGGCCTTACTCTTGAAAATGTGACCGCAGACGAAGTTCGTTGGACCGAGATGATTCACTTTAGTTCAGATACACTTGCCACCGTCGACAATCATCTCCGTGCCGTTGATGAAACTGCCCTCATCACTCGCAAGGTACAAACACATATTCGCCACATCATCTGGGTCAGTCAACCGGCCGAGGGGCACATTTCCGATAAACTTTTCACGATTCTCAGGCGTGTCCTCCATGCCGGTGAACATGGAAAACAGACCCGTCCCGGACAGGAGGGGACTGACTGTGTTGACGCGGATATTGTGGGGGCCGTACTCAGCCGCAAGCCCTTTGGTGGCCTACCGTTGTCAGCTGGCAGAGTCCCAACAAAGTCAAGGACAGGAGCCATACATTGGAAACAGCACCCTTGGATGCATTGTACCACACCAACCCCGGTCGAGGCCTCGAGGCTCCAGTGGAGGAGATGTTAATCATAGAACCTCCTTGGCCCTGCTGGATCAACCGCCCCATCAATGCTTTCGATGCAAGAAAGATGCTCCGAACATTGACATTAAACACACGTTCCCACTCCTCCTCGGTGACTTCCAAAGTGGGCTGTAGGGCTCAGACGTCAGCTAGGGGGCACCTCAATAGGATTCACACCGACATCACCCGTCGGGTACAGGCAAGCAGTCGTTCATCTGGCAGTCCGCACCTTATTCCGGTATGAGGTTCCGGCATTGTTGACCAGCACATCCAACCGACCAAACTTGGCAAAGGCAAGATCCATGACCTCGTCCCAGTCCGAAGCGCTGGTGACGTCCATCTTGTGGAAGAGCAGGTTCTCGGGAATTTGTGCGGCGATCTTCTCTCCGTTCTCGACATTGATATCGGTGAGAATGACCTTGGCGCCCTCCTCACCGAAGCGCCGAGAGATGGCCGCACCGAAGCCCGAGCCTCCTCCTATGCCTGGTTAACGAGACTTCACGGACTTCACGGTATTGCATTGGTGCTTTGAAAGAACCTAAGGGATACCTGTTACAATGGCAACCTTGCCCTGAAGACGGGCACCGGCCGGAGCTTTGGTCATTTTGATTGCAGCGTATCTTAAACCGAAATAGATTAACAGTCATACAGCATATCTCGCGTTCAAACAAGGGAAAAGACAAGCGGATATTTATATACCTAAAGCCTAAAGCAAAGAGGGGTCGACCCGTGCGGAGACACCACGGTGCAATGCCGATTCCCGAGTCGTCCCCATCCTAGCATTTGCCGTCTGCACCCCTTTCTCCCATGGGTGATCCAACCCCATCAGATCCACAGATGTTCGAATCTACATGTACGAATTCAAGGTGGTATTGGTCTTCGCCGCAGTTAAATGTGGCGAGATAACGACACAAACAATGCCAATCCTGCGGAGTATTTGTTTCATACATCCATTCCAACCGGAGGATGGCCGCAACACCTATCGGAGTTACTCCATAGCCGGCTTCACAACGAATGATTAAGAACTAAGGTCGGACTGAACATACCATTTCTCCCAGCCTGTGGTGTGTATAGTTTATAGCAGTCGCCTTGCAGGTGTGCAGAGGCTTGATTATACGGTCTGCATCGAACTCGGAGATTATGCCGAAGTAAAGAACAACCTCCATGCGGATTAGTCTGCAGACCAGTCTTTTGGTATTCCAGTGTCCTTACTCTTTGGCAGGCGCAGAA